GTACCCAGACCTTGGATCCTGGACATCCTTTTTGCGCAAAAGCCATAACCAACTCCTGTTCTCTGCTTGGTTTGTCACTTGCTGTCCTGGGGAGGCAGGGCGCTGTCATCACTCAACTGTCCTGCAAGGAAAGCCCAGGCCTGGCCATGGCCGTGTTGGCCCATTCTGTTCCTTCCACAGTCAGAGTCAACAGCAGCTAGCTCTCATTCTGTGCTGTTATGAAGATTAAATGAGCTTACACCTATGAAACTCTTAAAGCAAGCCTTATGGGTACATGCAGGTGCTCCGTAAAGATTCCCTATTTTTATTAGCAGTGTATCAAGAGCTTAGAACAGTGCTTGGTACATAGCAAGGTACATAGTTTGTGGTTTGTATTATAATCGTTCATTTATTTAGTCAGTCAACAAACCTTTCCCACTTTTCTTCATGGCAGGCATGCATGAAGACCAAGCAAGACACCATGACAGTCCCTGCCCTCGGGGAGCTCAAGGTCTAGTGAAAAGCAGACAAAATGAGCAAAAATGCAGCAGGGTGTGTGAATGTTACCCTCAAGAGATGCCTAGGGAAGGTGGGGTCAGGAGGAAGCCCAAATATAATCTGGAGGGAGGGGAATTGTAGGAAATAATAATATCAGAGAGGTATTTTGAAAAGCAGATGACACATGTAATGAGCGTTGTAGTATCTGGGACCTAGTAGCTTCCTGGAGGAGATAACTCTGGAGCTGTACCTTTTGTGAGACAGCCCTGGTGAATTAGGGGAGAGAACAAGAGACAGACAGACAGATGGGGAGTTCCAGGAACAGTGAGCAGCATGAGCGGCTAGAGCCCGGGGTGGCATGGGAAAGCCCAGGGGCAGAGTACAGCTTGGAAGATCTATGGGCAGGCACTAAGGGTACTGAATGCCAGGCCACGGAAGTTAGATTAACTTAACCACACAGGTTGCCAGCCCTAGTCCCTTCCATCGCTCCACTAAAACTTAAAAAAAGACTCCAGGATCAAGTCACATTTCCAAGCCATGTTTGTTATTGAGTTAGGCCACTTTTGAGAGCCAGTAAAGCACATGAGCCCGTTAAAGGCTCTGACAAGTCCAGCAGGAAGGAACGTGGTTGAACCTCATCATTTCCCAGACACATTTGACCTCAGAATCCCTCCTCCTCTAAAATGTATTTGCCTCACATGAATCAGGTGGTATTCCCAGGAACACAGATTGTGAGACAGCCCTGAGGACAGGAAGACCTTTAAGCTGGCTACTACCGTGGTCTGTGTCCCATATTAGAAAACCAACTCCCCCATCAGCAGCAAGAAGAACAGACTGGAGAAGACAACTCTGGAGGCCTGAGGACTGGTGGGGAGGCCACCGGGAGATCTGAGCAAGGGCTGCATGTCTGCGCAGAGGAGGAAGGGGTACAAGAGCTGTGCGGGGTAGAGTCATCTGATGCCGACCGTGGAATTTAACCATTACAACGATGGGATTCCTGAACCTGGGCGTCAGGATCAGGGGTTCTATACCTGCCCGTAGAGCTGGGGAGTGGGTGGTCCAGGCAGCCTCTCCTCCCCATCCAGCCCGGTGGCCGGTTCCAGAACAGGGGGGACGAGATGACAAGATGGTCTGCGAGGGACCCTTCATTTGTGCCATGCTGACACTCCAAAGCTGCGAGCTGTCTCTACTTCTGAGGCACGCAAGCAGTAAGCCAGACCAGCTCTATGGCATCAGGGGTGGAAGAGCCAATCGATGTGCATTTATTAAATGCCTACTGTGTACTTTGCCTGAGTGCCAGGCCCTGGAAGGGTAGGAAGGTGTAACGGTGCATCGGGACCCATCCTGGCAGTCACTTTAGTACAGGAGGAGGGACTTTGAGGTGAGAAAACAGAGAGAGGCAAACCCCAGGTCTGCCACACCAGCTGGGCGGCTGGAGCGAGTTCCTAGCCCCTCTTACTAATTTCCTAGGGCTGCTCAACAAAGTTCACAAACATGGTGGCTTGACACAGTAGTTCACTGTCTCAAAATTCTGGAGGCCAAATCGATACTGAAGTGTCTGCACGGCCGTGCTCCCTCGGGAGGCTCTAGGAGAGGACCCCACCTTGCCTCTTGGGCCTCTGGTTGCTCCAGGGTTCCTGGCTTGTGGCCGCTCCAATCTCTGCTTCCTCCCATGGCCCTCTCCTTTCTCCTATAAGGACATCAGTAATTGGATTGAAGATGGGCCCTACAATTTATCTTGAGACGATTTTATCTGGAGATTCTTAATTATATCTGCAAAGACCCTATTTCCAAATAGGGTCCCATTCACAGGTGCCAGAGGCTAACACTTGGATTCATCTTTAGAGGGGATACTATTTCAAGCTGCCACACCCTTCATGCCTCTACTTTCTTGTCTGAAAACGGAGACCATTACAGCACTTGTCTCATTGGGTGCTTGGGACGCTGGCGAGAGAGGTTACATGCATAAAACCCTCAGCAGAGGAAATGGACAACTGGTTGCTCTTATTCATTCACCCACATGTGAGAAAAGTCTCATACCTGTCCTTGCAAATTTATACCTGCATGATGCTCTCGCTTCTACACACTATGATTCCGGGCCACCAAAGCGGCCGTTTTGGTGGCATATGGATTATGGCAAAAATGTTTTTCATGTGTTGTCATCAGTCCCAAGTGTGTAGGGGAGGAAAGAATGTCACCGTCTCTGGGAGTGCAATCACAGGCCACAGATACTTGTCAATTGGTTGGTCATGACAGCCAGGACAGACTGCTGCTTGTGCCCTGAATCCCAAACAGGCGGGGGCTACTGGGCATGACAAGGATTTATGGGGAGGACCTCGGCACACACAGCCATCCCTGCGCTCATGGGTGCCTTCCTGGCCCCTGCACTGTCTGAGCACACAGGCTGCACCAGGGCCCAGCCGTCCAGGCCCTGGGAATGCACAGACAGCACGATGTTCCAGAACTCGTAGCACAGAGAAAAGAGGGCAGATGCACAGACTGAGGTGCAGGGAAGGAAGTCCCTCGAGATGGGAGCTCAGTTTCAGGCTCACGGTGGGATCCAGGTGGGAAGCAGAAGAGCACAGTTCAGGGCTAGTGTCTGCTAAGAAACCAAACACTTGCTCACAGGATGCTTAATGAACAGGTGAGATCACCGCCTCTGAAGTCAAGCTGATCTCTAAGGGAAGGGCTGGGCAGACGTCAAGATGCTAAAAATACACAAGTCAGCGTCTGGATGAAATTTAGGATGGTCCCCAGGCTTCTGGGCGATGGGGTGGATGGCACTACACGTGACAGGGAGAGGAGATCAGAATGCCAGTTCTACTAATGAAAACCATGCCTGAGGTTTCTGGAGCACTCACTCTGGCCCAGCCGGGCAGCATATTCTCTTATTTAATCCTCACAACAGCCCAGTGAAGCAACTGTTCTTATTATCCACATTTCACCACATTTCACGAGGCAAAGAGAAGCTTACGTAACTTGTTAAACTCAGGTCCAGCCACACTGACCTGCTTACTGTTCCCCAGCATAGCCCGTCAGTTTGTTTGTAAGGCTCAAATAACCAAAGGGGACATTTCCTCTATTCCCAATCCTGCCTCCCCCTAATTTAGACTGAGTATCTTTGTGTGCTTAAAGAAATGTTGATATGAACCTTACTTCAAACAAGGATTCTGTCCGTGCATGAGGCACACCTCAGCTTGGCACTTTCCGGCTGTGTGACATTCTTCATGCCGCTGGCCCTCTCTGAACCTCATCTGTAAAATGGGTCCCAGGCAAACATGACCCTGGGGGCTCTTGTGAAGAGGTTCTCATTAGAACCCGAGGGGGAACGTGCGCTGTAAGATACGGAGCAAACGGGGAGCATCGCCACAGGGCAGCCGGAGTCTGGCTGCTGGCTGCTAACCCAAGAGCCCAGATGGGAGCGTGCATGTCCTGCCCCGCCTGCCTCATCCAGCCCTCCCCGTTCCCATGCCCGCTGAATGCCAGTCTGAAAATTGAGCTGAAACATCTTTAATCACAACATGTTGTGGTTCCAAGGGACAGATTTTGTCTGCTCTGACAACTGTAAAATGGAATTACGTCTGCAAGTTAATTTGCTGGAAAGGATCCACATTTCACAAAATTTTCCTGGAAGCCAATACGAGCAATTAGAGCGTGGACGCACTCCTGGCCTAGCGACTTGGGGGTGGAGCAATGAGATTAACGCACCACTCGGCACATTAGAGCACCTGAGGGCCCAGAGTCCCCCAGGACAAACACCCTGCCCTGAAGAACCAGCATCCACCACCCCGGGGCCTCCCGCCTTCACTTTTTGTTCAGCTGAGGTGAAATTCACAGAACAGAATGACCCATTCCAAAGGAACAATTCTGTGGCTTTTAGTACATCCTCAATGTTGTGTGACCACCACCTCTCCCAAGTTCCAGAACATTTTCATCTCCTCCAGCGGACATCCACTAAGCAGTTACTCCCCATCTTCCCGAACCGGGCAGCCCCCAGTCTGCCTCCTGTCTCTGTGGATTTACCTGCCCCGGGAGCTTCATATCCAAACTAAGACTGTTTCCTGCAAGAGGCAGCAGGCTCCATGGGTTCTAAGCATTGCCGGTTGTTGGGACGCCTGACCCGGTGTTGGTGCCAGAAACAGGGGGACATTTACGAGGTGCGGTTTCTTCATCTTAACTCAGATCTTACCCCACCCGTGTTCACGCTGACAGTGATTCATGCTCCACCAATCCACCTCCTCCGGGGGACTTTCCCCGTCTCCGCCCAGGCAGACCCCCTCCACCGCACACTGGAGCACCCCTACTCCCCCCGGGGGCCACACCAGTATTTCCTGCGATGCCTGGGACTTGTTCTGGAGCCCGCTCGTGGCTTAACGGAGGGCAGGAGCCACGTGGCACAGTGGACGGAGTCCTGGCTTTGCCCTCCAAGAGGCTGGGTTCCTGCCCCCCGGGTCCCCTCTCTGAGGGGCGGTGAGTGTAAACTGTGGCGTGTGGTGACCTTCTCTCTGTCCTGTCTTTGGCAGCCCCGGAAGTGTTCCAGGTGTATGTGGACGGAGGCCCTGGCTACTCATACCCTGTCGACTGGTGGTCCCTAGGTGTCACGGCCTATGAGCTGCTGCGGGGCTGGGTAAGACATGCACCTGTGTGGGGAACACGGGGAGCCCTGGAAGTCGGGGCTCAGGTCAGACCGGACCTGGGTGCTGTTGGCCAGCCACGCAGCTGGGAAGGAGCCCACGTGAGGAGTCAGAGGCCCTGGGTCCCGGTTCTGATGGCCCGTGTGCCTGAGATCCCTGAGCATGAGAGGGGCCCGGAGCGAGCTTCTGGTCCAGCTGCCTCCTTCTGTTCATGGGGAAATGGATGTTCACAGGGGAAGGTCTTACATAAAGGTCAGCATCTAATCAGTGGCAGTTCAAACACCTTGGCATCGTGATTTCAAACACTGTCCTCTCCCGACCCACAGCACGATGTGCCCGTGCCTGATTTTCCAGCTTGATCTGAAGCCCTTTAAATATAAGGACCATGCTTCTTTTCCATGTTGTTTGTTTGTTCTATATCTTCCCCAAGTACATAGCTCGATGTCCCCTAAAAAGGGGGCATTCGGTATGTCCTTTGGTTTTTATTTCATTTCATTTAATAGCTGGAGATAATTAATGGCAACTGATAACTCATTTTTACTTTAGTAGAAAGAATTATGACAAACCAATTTTGAAGCATTTTTCTTTGCACAAGATGATACCACTGAACCTTGGTTTCCTTCTTGGTACAACGGGGATAAAAGCCTTCAGTCTGTTTCATGAAGCTGAGGTTACCATGGGATCACTCCGCCCCCCGACGGAGACCCAAGGTTTGCATTTTACTCGCCTTCACTTCTCCAGACCCTGGCGCAGAGCCACTGGGTACGTGATTGTGTCCACGCACACTGAGGCCAGTGGAGATGCACTCCTGGAGGGCAGGGGTGGCCCGTGCGGGTGACAAAGGGTGAGGAATGAATGAATGAATGAATGAATGAATGAATGATGGGAGTTTGCAAACCATCAAAGCCATGTGAGTGCAAGTAAGTATTATTATTTTTCATCCTGTAGTTTAACAACTATTTTCTGCTCTTGAACTCAGTTACTTCCTCTGAATTCCTCAAGAGCATAATTGCTATATATGATGTTTTTAGAATTAAAAATATACATTTATATGTATATATGTATGTATATATACACATACATATATATATATAAGAACTTGTTTTCTCAGGCACTGAGTGAAAAAATTCATCTTCTTCTTGGCTGGTCCCTTTGTCGTCTGCTGGGTTCATTGATGCACACAGTCGGGAGGGAGTATGAGGGGTCCCGAATGCTATCTGAACCAGAGGACACAGGCATCCTCCAGATGCTGTTAATCTGACGTCCCCAGTTATACAAATGCCCTCGGCAAGCAGTTGCCCCAAGCATGATTGGATGTTCATCAGCAGAAAGTACCTTCTCTATGTTAAATAAAAAATCAATTGAGTAAATTTGAAGATCTAATTGGCTTCATTAAATGATCCACCATCTCGCAGCACCCCATCTCGCACGTTGCGAGGTGCTCTGAGGAGTCCTATGAAATGGAACGTTTTTATAGGAGGGTGGGGCAAGATGTTATTAGCAAAAGAAAAAGATTCTTTTAGGCAAAGAGCTTTCTAGGGGGCAAGGCAATGTGTCTTATCATCAGATTATCCGTCTTTCTTCGTGGGGTGGAGAGGACCCAGGGGGCAGACTCCCAGGCCAGGATTGAAAAATTCCCAAATCACCGGTTAGGATGACATTTCTGGGAGAGGTTAGACCGGCAATTAGATATGTATTAAGCCCTGGTTTGGGAACTCATTCTAAGGGACAGCATTTTGGGGCCTGTGGATTTTGTGTTGTTGTTTTTTGTTTTGTTTTTTTTAAACATCTGTCATTCCTCACGGGTCAGAACAGTTAAAGATGATGACTTGGCAAAAAGCCCCAAGGATAGAGTGGTTCTTGCTGCTTCCAAAATAAATCGTTTCATTTTCAATGCGACAGAGTTTTCCACTCAGAGATCCAAATGGCGTTCAAGGGAGGAAAGAGAAGCACACAGTGGGATCGGGGACTTTGCTGTAGTCATGGAGTGACTGAATGAAAGGGTGCCTGTTCTGTGCTCGTGTTAACCTTTCTCACAAATGTCTGGATCTGGCTTCACCTTTGACAGGTTTATGCAAACAGTTAATTCTCTGTTTTTCATACATATGGGAAACAATCCCGTTTGGTAAAAAAAAACCATACCGAGACACGTACCTGCTTATCTCGGGGGTGTGTAAATGGCTGTCCCTCCCCCCCAGAATTCCTCTGCCGTGTCAGGGACAGGATCCCTGATGAGTGGTCATCCACTTCTTTGTTCCTTGGTTCCCTCAAAATCCAGGGAGCTTCTTACCTCCCAAAGACGAAAGCCATAATGGGAATTTTCTGGTGTGTGTGTTCTAGGGTGTTAGAGTTGGCAACAGAACGGGTGAGATCGGGACAGTCCGCCGGTGGGGACCCAGGAACACTCCAGCCCCAGTCCGGGAAACAGCCACCTCTTCTCAAATGCTCTGTAGGGAGAGCCGAGGAATCGAGTGTCATCAACGGGCTTAAAATCTCAACATAGAGACTCCCATGAGCCTGAGTGGATCTTATAGTCTGGACCAGGGACATAAGTAGGATCTCTGAGCCCAAAGTAGAATCTTAGTCCTCACTCCGCACACCTGCTAAGTGAAAGAAAGAGACTCAAGATTGTGCCGCCTGGAGAGTTCCCTGTTAGAGTACAGTTCCCTTGGTCTCCCGGGACTGCGACCACACCCTCTGATTAGGGAGGAGAGGATTCCCCACCCACAGACCCAGAGAAGGGCCTTAGAGACCTCAGCACACCATTGTCCCCTTGCCCACCTGCCAGGCTCCAGATGGCATCCCGACAGGTGATCACCCACCTGTTCACTGGTTCCCCTCAGCATCCAGGGAGCTCCTTACCTCCAGAAAGAACCTGTTTCCTTTTCTGACAGCTTTAAGGGCTAGAAAGTGTTTCCTCTCTCTCAACCGAAAGCTGCCTCCTCGTCACAGACAAAGGGGATCTTAGAGGAATTCACAGGGTCAAACCCTAGCTCTAACAGGTACCTTGTCAGTAATCTTAACCAAAGCTGGTAAACAGATCGAGTGCTCACAATCCTCATTTGTTAACTGGGAAAAAAAATTAATAATAATATCTACCCAACAGGGTTGCTTTGAGAATTAAGTCATTGCAATGGTGCTGATTAGTCAGCACGTGCCCGATGAATGTTAGCGAGCTTCCGCTCCTGGCTGTGATTCCTGCCCTGCGGGGCCTGCCAGCAGGCCGACATCCTCTCTGACTTAGCACCTCTCCACGCTGGAGCGGGCACTGGGAGTGGAGGCTGGGTCACGCCTGGTGGATGAGCACCACGGGGGGAAGGCCCAGGGGCCCCGTGAGCAGAGGTCTGTGCTGTCACTCGGGGCTCCTCAGGGCTCTGATTCTGGCTCAGTCACTGACCTCCTCTGAGCCCCGGCTTCCTCCATCATGAAATGGGGATTATGAGGCCGACCCACGGGCCACAGTGGGGATGGCGTGAGAAGCGGCAGAGCACACATCGTGTCCCGGATGCGTGTTAGCTACGCTCCCGGCAATGACTCTGAGGTAGGACGATGCACATAAAGTGCTGATCACTTGCTCACAGGAACATGGAGAATACCTGAGGGAACAGACATCTAAGCTGGGTCACAGAGGAGCTGCTGGAGGGAACAGTGTGGGTACAGATGGGGAAGAGCCACTGTGGCGGACATAGCAAACATGGTTGACTGACCAGCATTCAGAGGACAGTCAGGGGACAGTCTGTAGAAGCCCCTGAGGTCAGCTGGAGACACTCGGGGTTACCAGGTAGGCAATGTGGTGCTGTCGGTGGACGTGGTGCTGACGGTAGTTGAGCGAATGTCCTTTGCGCTCACCCTTTTCTGGGCTCACATCCTGGCTTTGCTACATGGTCTCTGAATGATCTGCGGTGAGCCCATTCCTCATCTACCAAGTGGGGGGATGGGATTTCAGGCCCAAAGCACAGGGCTCCTCGACTTTAGCACTGTGGACACGTGGAGCTGGGGAATGCTTTGTGCTGGAGGCGGTCCTGTGCGGTGCAGGATGCTAGCAGCATCCCTGGCCTCTCCCTACCAGATGCTGGCAGAAATCTCCCCCACTGCGTTATGGTAACCAAAAATGTCTCCCAACGTCATCCAATATCCCCTGGGGAACAGATTGTCTCCGCTTGCGGACCACTGCCATAGAGTAACCAAGAGGACTAAATGAGATCCTGAGTGCCAGGCTCATGGCACATTGCATTGCACAGAGTGGGCTCTTGATATAGACAAAGGGTGGGGCCTCCAAACCCCCACTACGGTGCCTTGAGGCCCTCTCTGCTTCTTCCCAACCACTTCCCTGACCTTGCCTTTGACCCCAGTCAACTCATCTCCTTGCGGTCTTGTAGACAGAGAAGGTCTAGGGTGCAGAGAGGTGATGAATAAAGAGAGTGTGTGGAGCTCCCCTAGAGGCTGCAGTGCAGAACAAAGAACTGGGTCTACACCCCCTGGATGGGCTCAACCGCAGAGCAGAACAGGGAGTGTAATGGTAATGGTGTACAAAGCTGATGGAAGGAGAGAGGCAGTCCTCGAGCTGAACACTGACTTCTGGTCCCTTGGTAAAGAGACAGAGCAGTGTGCCAGGAATCAAGACCTGCGAGGAAATGGACTCTGTGACCTCACTCTCTGGGTTTTCTGTCTCCATTAAGGTAGGAGAAAGAGCGTGTGGGTTGTTCTAAGGTTTTCAGGCTATGTTTCCTGGATCTCTGGGACCCAGCAGAGGTGGTTCAACAGTTCTGGGGGGTGGGGAATGCTTCTTCTGGCTTTGGAGATTTCATAACCCGAGAAAGTGTTCCTCACTTTCATCTGTTCTGTGTTTGGGATTTGGAGTAAAAAGGTTTTGGGGGAAAAAAAAACATTGGATTAGATGGTCCCCAAAGCCCAACTCAGCTCTAACAGCTCAAATAACAAGTCTGTAGCAATTCTCGTCCCCTCTCTTCGATTTCTTGGTAAATTGGCATTTTTTGTAAACTGAGTGTCCTGGAATAGAGACCCACCTGCACTCCATAATGAGTATATCCGGCGCCCTGCTGCTAAAATCACTTTCCCCAGCAGTATATGTAATTACTTTACCTTAGAAATGCCACTTGCTTTTCTGAGTCAGCACATCCTAAGGCCAATGCATGAGAACCAAGCTTCAATAGAATTCTTTCCCCGAGCAGGTGAAATAGGGATCTCAGGATTTGCCAATATTCTCGTAGAAGGAGCTGGGCTTCTCTGTGACCACCCACATGGACGAAGGCTGAGCCCAGAGCTGCAAGCTGCAGAGCATATCCCATGCCTGGTGTTCCCAGCTTATCTGTGAATGTATTTAACCACTGTGTTGGCCTCGTGGCTTATCGGGGTTACCATAATGATCACCATTGTTACTCTTATTGGTCTGGTTCCCTCCAGAAGCGGAGAGGACAGAGCTAGAGAGGGGCGGGTTTGGAGAGGGGATGGAAAAGCAGATTGATGGATGCCTTGAGGCAACCAAGAAGGAATGACAGAATGCAGTGTGAATGATGAGAAAAACCTTCCTATTTGTTGCTGGCTGGTTCTCCAGCCAGGTGCTCCGCCAGGCAGGCTCTAGTGCCAGAGAAACCTCAGGGAAGGAGAACCTGCATCTCTATGGGATGGGGGCAGGGTCGCTGTTTGTCTTCCAGCCTCAGTGTCCCAACTTCTAAAATGAGGAGGTGAGACTGCTCCATCTCCCAAGCTCCTCCCACCTCCAGGTACCGCTGGGACAGGATGGGAGGAATGGTTTCTCCAGAGGCAAAAAGATGGGAAGAAGCGATCTGCAACAGTCCAGAAACCGACGTCTCCGCTCTCCATGTTCACTCTTGTTATTTCCAATCGTGGCAGCTGCACTGGTCAAGTAAGGCAGGTCCTGCGAAGGCAGAGGAAGGCAACAGCCTCAGGAAGAAATTCCAAAGTGTTCTTTACTGAAGCCCTACTCCATTTCCCATGACATTGGAAGAAAATGTTTGAAGACATATGTAAAAAATGTTAGCATGTCTAGTTAGCTGGCCTTTCTAGGGAGCCCACAGGTTTTGGCTTTGCTCTGCAGAATATAGGACAAAAGGGGGAGTTCCCAATTCGATTGACAGATGAAAGAGGAGGAAAAGTCAGGAAAAGGTCCCCTTCTGGGTAGGCACATCAGAAGGCACAGCCACACTCCCACGGGCAGACGTCTTCCCCAGGGGAGCCCCATTTGATGAAGATAAAGATGCTCCTCCGTTCCAGGGATTCATCACCCATCCAGGGCTCAGGATGCCCTCACCTCCTTGGGCTGGGACCTCCTATTGGCAGCAACCCTGTGGGAATCCAAATTCCACGGGGTTGGAGCCCGTGCCTTAAGAGCCACGTGAGCCCAGTACAGGCTCCAACCCCCTGCAGGTGTCCAATCAGTGTTTGTGGATGGATGGACTCATCAAGCTTGTCATCGTGCTCTGCTGGATGGCGGAGGCTGCTGGAGAGCCTGAGAACACAGAAATGAGTACAATACAAGCCCACCCTCGAGGATGCCCCAGCAGGAATTTCGTAGCAGACAATCAGGTTCACGTGGACAACTATGAACTCACTGCTCTCAGTTTCTCTAGTTGGTGGGCCACACGTGCTCCCGAAGTGACTGCCTGTTCCAGCCCTGAGCCACTTGACCGTGATGCAAACCTCAAAGCATCTTGGCCCATGGAGCTGGGTGGAGGGTGAAGAGGGGGAGAGAACCTGGGTGGGGGAGCAGGTGCAGAGTTCAGACAGTGTGCAAGCTCTGTACCCAGGGTCCCATCCCAAGTTTTGAGAGGTTCTCGGAAACAAGAAACTGCCCAGGCAATGTTGGAAAAATGCGTCAGGAGGTTTAATGCTCTGCCAAGCTGGCCAGTTGGAGAACAGAGTTATACATCCTCACTGGGGGAGAGGGGAGAGGGTGGTAGGTAGAAGCCCGGCATCCCCCCATCCATCCACCCTACCGGACCCAGACCTTGGTGATTCCGGCCCTGTGCACCCCCAGTCGGCTCAGCCAGTCCTGGGAAATGTGGTGTGAGGTCCACCAGCTGGTAGGGGCCTTGACTGGAGGTGATGCTGGGTGTCCAGTGGATGGTGAGAGCCACCCCGCCCCCAGGCCTGGAGCAGGGACTCAGGAGTTAGGCTACTGGGTGTGGATCCTGCCTCTGCCACTTACCGGGTATGTGACCTTGCCAAGTTCATTTAAGCTCCAGCACCCACCTGCTGGGTTCTGGCCCGACCCTGCAGGCCTGGTCCCTGTTGGCACATGGGCAGGGCCACCTGCTCTGCGGTGGGAGAGGAACGCCCACTGTTATGTGAAGGGAAAGAATAAGCCACCCCCTCGTGTATACACCATTTTAACCGCATGCGCGGTGTCTTCCGGTTGGCTTCTCTCTGACTCCCTGTCTGGTCCTTTGGTTGCAGAGACCATATGAAATCCACTCGGCCACACCCATTGATGAGATCCTCAACATGTTCAAGGTGGAGCGTGTCCACTACTCCTCCACGTGGTGCAAAGGCATGGTGGCACTGCTGAAGAAGGTAAGGGGACAGCCACCAGCCGGCAGGCCTGGGGGCCGAAGTCAGTGCAGAAAGCGGCATCCCAGCACATTCAGGCATGAGAGAAGGAACGGAATGCCAGTGGTGGGCTGGATAAAGTAGGCAGAGCGCTCACACCACATCGTAAGCACACTCACAGTCTCGCATCCAGGATCACAGAGCCACTGGGTGCTAGAGTCCGCGTGGAGATACATCTGCGGCAACAGAGCCCCAGGATCTTTTCACTCCACTACAAGCTCCTAATAAATAGAAATACTTAATGCATACGGCTCTTTAAAATTGTTGCCACAGATGGTCTTTTAAGTCGCTGAGCTTTAAGAAATGGGGCATCTCCTGACTTTTCCCAGGAGCTAGAATTGACTAGAACAAAGCACTGGCTCCCCAAGGGTGTCCCCTGGGCCAGCAGCGGCAGGAGAAGCAGCAACAACGGGGAGCTTGTTGGAAATGCAGATTCCCAGGCTCCACCCAGACCTTCTGACTCAGAAACTCTGGGGGTGGGGGGCCCTGTGGTTTGTATTCCCATCAGCTTCCCGGGTGGTTCTGAAGCCCGCTCAAGTTTGGCACAGTAAGGCTGTGGTGCCCTCCTTTGGAGGCTGGCATTAAGCTTTCCTGCCTCAGAATCCCCCGAGATGCTCAGGGCGGATAGAGTCCGGCCCGTGGCTGGGACTCAGTCATTTGTAGAAGGACGACGGTAACGGCGGCCAGCAGTGCTTGAGGGAATGTCGTGTTCTGGGCCGTGCGCTGGCTCTTCGCAGTCCTCACAGCCCTGGGAGCCCATATTAGAGGTGAGAACACAGAGGCTCAGGAGGGCACAGTTCCGTCCGCGCCACGGGGCCGTCCGAGGGCAGAGGCGAGGTTTGAATCCAGGCTGTCCCTGCTCCAGACACCAGCTGTTCTTCCCTACATCGCTGTCCATGACTAAGTTGGTTTAGAGGAAATTCAGTACTTGCTTCTTAGAAGTCAGGGGTCCTTAGAACCCTCTGCTGACTAGAATCACCTGGATGCCCTATGCCCATGCCACTGCCTGCACCCCTCCCTGCCCCCTGCACCCAGGAGCACTGCTTGTCCTGAACAGGGAACTCCCATGGAGCACGGGAGTGGAGTCTCTGTTTAAATCTGCACCTGCTGTTTTGGGGAAGCCCCTAGGAGAAGGCTGCCATGACCAGCAGATAGGACTTTGCCAGGTGTCCTCACGTGGTATGACCGCAGCCTGCTCGCTGGGCACAGCTGGGAGATTTCTGCAGTGTCGGGGGACAGGCGGGGAGCAAACTGGCAGGGGGCTCTGACTTCTAGCTCCCACCTGTTGGCAGCTGGGTACCACACCCTCCTTAGCATTGGCCAGGCCCTTACCAATCACCTTGGGTCCCATCCTAATCATGCGCTGGAAATGGAAGAGTTGCCTTTGCTCTTCCTGCTCTAGAGGAGGAAACAGGTGCACAGCCTTCAGCAGCCTGTCCGAGAGCCTTGCAGCTGGGGTGGGGGTGGGAGTAGGGCGTTGGCAGGCCTGGGGCAAGGGCCCCTGTGTGTCACTGTTAACCCAAGTGTTCTTTGTGCTAGGTAAGCCAGTACGTATTTGAAAAGCTGAAAGCCCCATCTGGGTGCAAGGTAGTACTGCGTGGCTATTTTTTAATATACCGCATTACCCCGTATTAGGAAAAATTCTATTTGAGGCGAAGCTAAAATTTATACCCTTGGCTACAAATGAGGCCACTCTATCAGGCCACAGAGGTCACCGCAGAGCTGCCCAGGGATAAATTCTATTACACTTTCTCGCACATCCGTTACCAAGCTGACAGTCTCAAGATGAGGTGGCTAATTCTTTTTATATTTAATTGGAAGCCTCTGCAGACATCAGCGCGAGTGGGATGTCACGGGCGCGAGTCCCCAAGGACAGCGCGGTGGCTGAAAATCCAGGTCCTGCCAAAGAGTCTCTCTCTGGGTGACCGTTTGGAAGCAGCCTGCCCTCTGGGTTCCTCTCTGGCGACAAAGGGCTGAGTGTAGGTGACGCTTCCGACAATGGCAACCCAGAGCACAGAATTAATAGAGCATAAAAAGCAGAGGCATCTTCATTTTTGCTAGATTTCTACCTTCGGGGTCCCCGTTAACCTCGCGGGGCACATAACTCAGGCAAGCACGTTTGCCCTCTGCCCGCAGCTCCTGACCAAGGACCCTGAGAGCCGCCTGTCCAGCCTCGGTGACGTTCAGAGCGCACCCTACTTGGCCGACATGAACTGGGATGCTGTGTTCGAGAAGGCGCTGACGCCCGGCTTTGTGCCTAATGTGAGTGGGGGTATGGTCCACTGGCATGCCATCCCTCTGCAGGGTCCCCTGCCCTGCTCTGGAGGAACACCCCGAAGCTGGCTGGGGAGGCCTCTGCTGGCCATGGCCACAGGAGCTCCAAAGGGTTCACATTACGCAGAGATTGACTGTGGATTTGGACCTCTTTTCCAAGATTCCACCTGGGAAGCTTCTCTTCTTATAGAAGGTCTTTGTGGGCACAGAGCCTCCTTTCTTTTATTGAATCACACCCACTGTGCGCGCAGGTCCAGGCACTGGCGAGGGGAGAATCACACCCACCTATGTGCATCCACCCACCCATTCATCCACCCACCCACCGATCCGGCCGGCCTGTATTCACTGAGTATCTGCATATGCAGGCACTGCGTGTGACTCGAGGGGAACCCCTATAAAGAAAACAGTCTTGGTGCCCATTGTCAAGGAGCTTGCAGATGAGAGCAGGCCTCCTCACTGTGCTACAGTTAGTTGACCTTAGGACCAGATGATTCTTGGGTGGGGGCCTTTCCTGTCCATCGGAGACTAGTGGCATCCCTGAACTCTACCCGCAAAGTGCTAGTAGTCCTCCCCAGTTGTGACAACCAAAACCATCTCCAGACATTGCCAAGCACCCTTGGCGACAGCTGCCCCCTGTTGACAACCAGTGCACTAGGAATTTTGTACCAATAATAAGCCAATCAACATACAAAGGCACCTAGAGTGACCCAGGGCTGGGTCCTGGAGGGAGACTGCAGGCTCTCCCACCCTGGGGGCACAGGCCGTAGAGACTTGAGTTCACTACCACCGCTGTGACCTCAGGTGTACACCAGAAGGGGTTCTCCACCTGTGCTGGGGAGATGAGAGAGATCACACCCCCCCCCAACCAAACTTGGGAACAGTAAATGCCAAGAGGTCTCCCAAGACTCGGAGCAGGACCTGGTACTCAGTGAGCCCTCAGTAAATACCACCCTGGTAATGGCTGTTGTAATTAATAAACCTGCTGGAGTTCTGGACTCGCTTCCCTTGGTTGGCTTTCCTCAGAATGCACACTCTGGATATGCCAGAGAAATACGCTAGCCTCCTGGGTGGCCCTTTTCTGCCCAGCGTAGGCCAGGTTGACGAAACCCAGGGATCTCGATGCAGTCCTTTGTATGGAGCACAAATTGCCTAAAGCAGTCTCCCTGTTGCCAGGGCTGAGCCTTCCCCGAGGCTGTGTGCCAGATGCCTGGGTGACCCTTGGGGCCAACGTGGGTTGTGTCCGTCAGCCTTTTGTAGACCGCACCTCCTGCTCTTCCCCAAGCCCACCCAAACACACTCATGCACACTCACAAGCACATGCACACTTCCACACAAACACGCGCAGAGGACCCCTGCTTCAGCCGCGCCCGGCTGCCTGCAGTTGTGCTCTCTGGCCACACTGCTTCTTAGCCATGTACCTGTGCACACGCTACTTCCTCCTCTGGGGATGCCCTTCCTCTCCTTGTCCCCTGGCATCTCCTGTCCCTCCTTCAAGACCGCTTCAAACCCAGTGACTGGCCCATTTGAGGGTCTTGGTAACTGCCTTCTGGAAGGGAGGCAAACTTAAGCATTGCCTCCGATGGGACACGCCCCAGGCCAGCCCCCCTCCTCCTTACCTAGAGTGAATTGCAGCCTCTGTGATCCTCCACCGGACAGGTGCGTAGATGTACATGAGCAGTTAATATCATTCTGTTACAGTGCGTCCGCCATCCCCTGAGAGCTTCGGAGGCCAGAGCCCATGTAGCCTGGGCTGGCCTCTGCCTGAGAGAGACCCCAGAGCAATGGGTGGTGCTAGAAGGCACTAGAAGTTCTTGATGTGTGATTGTCACACAGATATAAATGGATGAATGATAATGGTCCAACGGGATTGAGTGTTCTGCGTGCCAGGCATTGTTCTAAAATTCCATGTGCATTATCTCATATAAGTTCCACGACAGGGAAGTGCTTCTCATAGGTAGTATTCTCAGGTTAAGTAACTTGCCCATGATTACTCCGTGAGAAATTGACCTCAGGGAGTCTATATCCAGAGCCTGCATTGAAAGGAATGAATGAGTGAGTGAATGAATGAATGAATGAATGAATGAATGGCAGATAAATCAGGCCAGGAAAGACTTGGACCAGCTTTTTGGAAGAGGTCCCTGTGCACCTCCAGACTGTGGATGGCATAACCACCAAGCTGTATTGCCTGAGGGAACTGGCGTCCCTAGCTGGGTCCCAGGATGGACAATGGCCACCTGGCACCTTGGGTGCACAGTCCAGAAGTCAGGGGGACAAAATTCCTCCTGACCAAAGTGGGTGGAGCCTAGCCTGTCTCCAGCTGAGGGGTAAGAGGGAGCTGGCATGGGGAACTGGGAGGATTATGGCCAGAAATGGCATTTTAAAACTAAATTATTAAAAAGGATAGTTATAGAAAAAATAGTGATAACATGAGAACGTGTGTGTGATAAAATAAGCGATTAAGTCCGATTGGGAAACTGAACTCAACCTGGCAAAAGGAACCTTCACAGGAAGGAGACCGAGGAGTCATGTGGATGTGAATGGGGTTGGGGGGATACGAGTATAAATGAACGAGGTCTGCAGGGAGAATGTGCTTCTCCTCACCAGGAAAAAAAGACGTAACTGTGTACCCCACTGTGATAGTTAATCATTACGTTGAATGAATGATGGATGGAAAGAATGAATGAATGAATGAATGTCCAAGGGTGGGGGGAACCAAGACACTCGAGTCTGCTTTTCTGCTTGCTTTCAGAAGGGGAGATTGAACTGTGATCCCACATTTGAACTTGAAGAAATGATCCTCGAATCCAAGCCTCTTCACAAAAAGAAGAAGAGGTTGGCGAAGAACAGGTCCAAAGACGGCACGAAGGACAGCTGTCCTCTGGTGAGCGGGCTCTCGGGAGCGGACCCCGGGAGGGGAGGGATCCCAGACTCCAGGGAACGGAAAGGAGCGACACTGCTTTTTAGGCCTGTCACTCGGCCTCTCCACACACCTTCATTTGCAGTCAGTAAAATGGCTCCATCGATGGAGTGGTTTTTATAGCGAGACCGAGGGAACCGCCGCGCGTGCACGTGTCCGTACGCGCCGCTCACGTGGCCGCGAGTCCTAGTGCAGGGGCCTCGTGCATCTCCGGGCAGGAGTGGAAGAACGCGTGCCATGCGGGGGGACCCCGCGCCGCGCCGGGCAGTCCTGGGCGCGCTCTGGAAAGACTGTGCTGTGGAGGCACCCTGGGGGTGGGGGCGCTGCCTTTCGTGGGCCCCGGGCACAACGGGGTGACTTAAAGCCACCAAAACGTGTTCTCTCACAATTCTGGAGGCCGCAGTTCAAAATCAAGGTATGGACAGAGCTCCGCTCTCTCCGAAGGCTGCGGGGGGCGGGGCGGGGGGGGTCCTTCAGTGCCTCTCCCACTTCCAGTGGCACCAGCGGTCCTTGACCCCTGGGCTTCAGCTGCTTCCACCGTACCTGCCTCCTTCGCCACGTGGTGCCTTCCTGGCCGTGTCTCTGGGCCTTCATAGGGCCTTCTTCTAAGGACACCAGATATTGGTTGAGGGCTCATCCTACTCTAGAAGGACCTCAAAGACCCTGTTTCCAAATAAGGTCACATTCACCATTATCAGGGCTTAGGACTTCAACACGTCTTTTTATTTTTATTTTTTTGTAAGATTTTATTTATTTATTTTAGAGAGATCGAGAGAGAGCTAGTGAGGTGGAGCAGTGGGGTAGGGAGGAGGGGAAAGAATCTGAAGCAGACTCCTTGCTCACCATGGAGCTGGACTCAGGGCTCCATCCCACAGCCTGTGAGATCATGACCTGAGCCCAAACCAAGAGCCAAACACTTAACGGACTGAGCCAACGAGGCGCCCCTTGACACATCTTTTTAAGGGGCATGATTCAACCCACAGCTGCCTATTCCCCCATGAAAAAAGATTTAAAATTGTATTTGACAGCCATATGGGTATGAAGATGAAGATAGCTTTCAATGCTAAAAGTTCTTTTTCTCCCCTCCTTATTTTAAAAGAAATCAAAACATCTTTGTAGCTCCTAAAAGTACTGTGGGCTGTGGGCCCTAGGCCCTAGGCCCTAGGCCCGCTGAGCCTAATGCAGAAGCTGGTCTAGAGACACCTGCGTGCATGTTAACAAGGGCACAAGGGGGGGGGGGTTCTGCACAGGTGTGCAGTATCCATCCGGCATTCACCCAGTCTCTAAGACCTGGGTTACAGAGCACTTGTTCTTGGCATCTGTTCTTGAAGAGGGTGAGAACCTTTGCAGGGTGGTCTTGAAATTCTCCCCCCACCATCCCACTTCTTAATAGGCCTAATGAACATTCCAGCAATCGGGAAACCAACTTCATGATGTTCAACCCATATTCCATTCCAACATGACTTTTAAGTTGGATTTAATGGCTTAAAATTGAGGCAAACATCTTCATCTGCCAGGCTCCCCCTATAGCCTCCCATACCGTCAGGGCTGCTCAGCCACATAGCTCATCCCCGGCCCCAGGCATCAGCAGTCCCATTTAGATCCAGCTTTGTTCATGGTCACTCCTCTGTCCTGGCTCCCTGGAGGGTGCTCCGTCACTTACGCTCCCCTCTCTGCTCTTTGGCAGAATGGACACCTCCAGCAGTGCTTGGAGACCGTGCGGAAGGAATTCATCATATTCAACAGAGAGAAGTAAGTCCCCCACCAGCATCTGCTGGACAGAGCCCTCCCAGATGGCAGCAGCTCTCCCCAAGAGAATGGTGGTCCCTGGCCCCCCGTGAAGCCAGCCATGGTGCGGGAAGGGAAGCGGCAGGTGACCCCGTGTTCTAATCCTGCCTCTGCCATGCAAGCCAGGCACCACCTTCATTCCCTGGACCTCAGGGTCTTCATGCAAAGTGGGGTAGCCGTGGCAGGACCAGGCCGGCACACAGGGATGCCGGTGCAGCGGGGCTGACTCAGGGATGGCTCGATGCCAGAGCTCTGGATGGAAACAGCCCAGGGTCTGCCCCTGCCAGACTGACCTGCCCCTACCAGAGCGACCATACAGGACGGGACGGCTCACTCCACTAAGCCTCATTTTTAGCATAGACAGGATGGAAATCCCTCCCTTGCTGTATGGTTGTTGCAAGATTAAATGAGGCTGTGGATACCATGCCTGACAAGGTCGGAGTCCTCATGCGACTCCAAAGCCGCAAGGATATGGAGACAGGAGCGCCAGGGATGGCCAGCAGCCGCCAGAGGCTGGGAGACAGGCCTGGACCAGATTCTCCCTCAGCCTCCGGAAGGAACCAACCCGGCTACCAACCTTGAGTTCAGACTTCTGGCCTCCAGAACCAAGAGACAATAAATCTCTGTTGTTGTAAGCCTCCCAGAGGGTGATGATGTGTTACAGCCGCCTTACAAAATCGATACCGTACCCTCTGAGTCAGAGGCTGGCTGGTGAGCGAACAGGCCTGGTGATCTGCATTTTAACATGCTCTTGGTGTCATTTGGACGCCTCATAGTTTGAGAACTTCTGCTGAGAGAGACCGAGTGTGCTCAAACGGAGCCTCCTCTGGCAGGTTCTGAGCTGGTCACAAGAATCCCTATCTAAAACCGCAAACCTTCCAGCCCTCTGTCTCCCTTGCTCTGGGGTAGGGAGCTGCAGCTCTGAGCCCTCCTGGGCTTAACTAAGTGTGCTCCCGAGGGCCTCACCCCTGCATGGCTACCTGGCCCCTGCACAGAGCCTGTGTGCTTCCTCAGGGAGAACAAGCCCTGGGGCAGAGAAAACGTCCCCCTCCCCCGCATTCAATGAGAAAGCCATCCTTAGTATGCAGTGCCCAGGGGATGCAGGCAGGCATCAGCCACGCCAGCTCCTCTAGGAGATTCTCATTCAGTCCTTTAACAGGAAGCCGTAGTCTTGGACTGGACCCTGAGACATGGAAGCAGATCGAGCAGGACCGGTGCCCTCAGGATGCTCGCAGGTGGCAGGGGAGATGCTGGGATGCAGACGTAGAGGGGTCACTGGGGGGACGCGGAGGACATGCCCTGGGTCCAACCTCTCTGGACCTCAGGTTCTAAACAGAGAGCGAAATTTAAATGAGCACTGCCTAATTTTCTAGAAACACAGCTTATTACTGGTTTTTGGTCTCAACTGACAGAAGGCCACCAGGCCAGGTGGAACGTCTGCTTTCAGGGACTGGTCCAGGGACTTGAAGGCCTTGGCATCTGAGGCCTCCATTAGCTTGAGGAACACACTGTGGGTCATGTCCTTCTATTTTGGGCCAAAGAGATGAGTGCAGTTTTCCCAAAAGGTCTTTTCAATAGCATATGACAGAGTTTTCCAGAATCGGGAGCCCCTGGTGAGAGAGGAGTTTCAGGAGCTGGATTTTCTATCTGTGTTATCTCTTAAAGAAACTGACAGACTTAAAACCACATTAAAGTGACGTTTGGAGGCCCTGAAAATGTTATATTTAAAAAATCGAATTCTGCCATTTGTTATACTAAATAATACTATTAATAATAATTAGCGACATCGGGATATGGTTTTATGGTTTGAGATCCCGTTTCTTTAATCCGGATTTCTTAGCCTCGGTCCTATCGACATTGGATGACGACTGACATCAATGTTTCGATGCGGGGACTGTCCTGTGCATTGTACGATGTTTACCAGCATCTGTGGCCTCCGCGCATAGATACCGGTAGCACCTCTGTCGTTGTGACGACCAAAACTGACCCCAGACGTTGCCCGATGTTCCCCAGCAGGCAGGTCGCCCTGGTGAGGAGTCACTGCTTTGATCCTTACTTTCCACACTTCCTGAGGTGCATATTATTAGGATTTCCCACGTCTGCAGCTCTGAACTGAAATATGAAGGACTTGAAATCTAATCTCTCATCCCCTAGATCCTGGGCTCTTTCTACTACATGTGCTTTCATCCAGCTGTTTGGCAGATGTTTATTCAGGGTCAGATACAAGGGGACACAGCTGGGAGCAAGCCCCCCCCCCGTTCTCACGTGGCTCACACTCTGATAGAATGAGCTTCAGGACCTGAAGGGAGGGGGTACTTCCGTACATGGTGTCTTTGGGGTGTCTCTCCAGTGCATCCAGGTGGGGCACTGGCTTGCACAGAGCGGATGACCACAAGGGCACACTTTTATTGGGCACCCAGTCTATGCCATGCAGTCTGTCCATCCATCCTATGAGCCCCACCCCGTTATAGGTGAAGAAGGGCAGGTTGAGGGCACATGGCTAAGAGGGGGCAGGGCTGGGGTTCCATGGAGGTAATCAGGCTCCAGAGCCCTGGAGCTCCTTGCCCCGCATATTTAATGTTGAACAAGGAATTCCCACCAGCTGCGTAGATATCACCTGTCGGTGAACCCGGACGTTACAGACACAAGATCGTGCTCGTTCACATGACCGCAGTCTGCCCTCCTTACCCATCCCGAGACAGTACGACAGCAGCAAGCTACCGCCAGGCTCAGATGGGGACCAGGGTGGGATGCCTGGACCAAGGCCACAGAGAGATGAACAATCAAAATGTGTTGTGACCTCATCCACCCAGGTGGCCTCCCCGGAGGACCCCAGCAGTGAGATAAGGACCCTCTATTGTGGCCCAGAGTCACTGGGGGATGGAGGCCAAGAAGCGTGAAGTTATGATTCCTTTCAGGCTCAGGAACTGGATGAACAGGGCAGGCCCTGGTCCTACTGCCCTCAGTGCCATGAGCATGGGGACAGGGATGGTCCCAGCCTCTCTGCACCTAGGGGTCCGCATGAAGGGCTGGCCTGGGTATCAGCGATCCTTGACTGTACAAGGTCCGTGCCATTGGCAGAGTACTTTGATATCCCTCTCATGTCTTCGGCAGCCCATGGGGGAAGGCAGGAAGGTGTTCTGCCTGCAACCTGCAGATTAATCTGTAAAGGGGAGACTTTCTCCACTGGCACGTCCCCTGGCCCCATTGCTAGGGAGAGGCGAACTTCAAGGACCCCGCCTTCTGAAATCAAGGCCAGCGCATTTAGGTTCTCTCCAGTCTCTGAGATTTGATCGTGGGGTCCAAACGTCATTTCTAGGTGAGGATGGACAGGAAAGAGAGCCAACAAACAGCTGAGAGCATCTCTGTTCTAAACTGTGGGGTGGGGGGAGCCCCTGCCCCCATCTGCTCCTTCCGTTCTCATCACGATTCTATTTGTAGCACATTTCCCCCCCATTTCACAGTTAGGGAAGCTGATAAAAGCCTAACTCTGACTATAGTGGCCTCTCTGAATCTCAGAAGGTCTCGAGGCTTTACTGCCCACTGAGGCGGAGGGGAAGGGCCTAAGTGACTGTGTTAGGTGAGGCCAGGCTTTCTGGGATCGCTGCTCCACTAAGCAAGGTGGCACCTCTCCAAAGCCCAGGAAAATGGCCAGGGAAAAGCAGTTCAGTGACCTGGAAGAGCGGGAGGAATTTCAGCCACAGATGAAGACAGCCTAGCAGGTGCTTGGATTGCAGAATCCTGATAGTTCCATGAACACTCGAGATCAGGAAATCACCCGGGAGTCAGGGCCCTCTGCCAGTTCCATCAGGGGAAACTGCAGCCTGGTTGAAAAGGGGCCCCCGATCCTGACATATTCCCCCCAGCCAGTGAAAGACCCGGGAAAATACAGCATGGCGGGTTTCCAATGGACTGAGGGGTGACACGCAGTCCCTGACAAATAGCCCTGCGTCCGTACGACCCTGTTTGTCTTAGGAGCGCATGCTGTCATTGGTCTGCTCAGACTTCAATTATTTAAACTCCTGTCTTCTTTCCCCTTCAATCAGTTCTCCATAGTAAAACAGAGGTACCTTATTTTATATGGGAATACTCAGAGGCCTTATTAAATCCTTTATGAAATAAGGCTGTGTGTGAATTTGAAAATTATAAATAGGATCTCTAATGGTCTGTCTTGAAGTAAATGTTGTTGTTTTAATCCTGATCTAATGTTCTCTGTTACATCTACAAATCTCATTGCCAGCCAATTAAATGAGATAATACTATCACTATGTGCATATATCACAAACCTGTTATATGCCATGCACTGTGCCAGGTGCATTTGCATCTTCTCTAAAATAAATCAACACCATAACCTTGATTTGTAAATGCTGATGTCTAGAGAAAAGGAGTCATTTGCCTGAGGTCAGCAGTCAGTGTTTTGTAGAGTTGGGATCCCACATAGGTCCAGGGTGGCTTGAGCTCTTTCGTATTCTTTCCACTCTACCACTCTGGCTCTCGCCTTTAACTTTTTATAAACGTTGAAACTTTAATTAAAATATCCAAGTGAAGCAAAGGAAGAGCATCACCCAGAATGTATGTAAAAATTGGAATATAAACAGTAAGATGGTCTGAAATAAGTGCTTAGGGGCAATTGGCAACTTCTTTTAGGATCCTTAACGTTGATTTCCTCCAGTTAATCCAGCTCTGGGCCCGCCCCTAGGCTTCTTATGAAAAAGTCTCAGATTCTCTGCCTGAAATGCCGGCTTTGTGGGTTGCACCGTGTTCCTTAAAAGGATATGATGAGCTACTAGACTGCCCGCCCCCACTGTATTTTAAAAGAGGGTCTTTGCAGAAATAATCAAGTTAGGATGATGTCGAACCGGCTGAGGGTGGACCGTAATTCCAACGACTAGGGTCTCAGTAAGGAGAGGGACATTGAAGACAGAGGCAGAGACCGGAACGATGCAGCCACAGTCCAAGGTATG